TTTCTTATTCGTCATTATTTGCAATGACTTATTACCACTTATCCAGCAGTTCTTCATAAGCTTTTTAGTAAGAGGTTTTGATGCGATAAAGTTTTCAAAGAACTCTTGAATCTGGTTTTCAATGGAGAAAGTTTTTCTTTATCAAAACGTTTTGCCGCGTTCGAAAAGAGTAATAATCGATTTGAGTCTGGTGGACAGAGTAGAACAGACCAACAAAATTCCAATTTTTTTTCCTGTCTTATTCTTGGCCCGGCGTTGCCCGTCCTTGATTCAAAAATCGTACGACTCATACAGCAATCGCTCTCACTTGACTTAAAATATTTTTGCCCTTCCTTGCCTTTAAAGGAGTGCCCTTTGCTGGGCTGATGTTGCTACATGCCTTACTTCTTGCCTATCTCACACTGCGATTTTTTTCTAAGCTCTATACTAAACATTAAATCTGTTACGAAAAAAAGAACTAAACAAAATGAACATAAAACGATCAGCTTTAAAAAAGAACTCGTAACTGGAAAAACCGAATGAAAAAAGAATGTTAACAACAAATACTTTTTCACCCCAAACCCAGTTCTGCGGAACCAGAATCAACGTTGAGTTTAAGCAAGCGAATGAGCCAATTGGAGTAAAGTGCCATGCAGATTTAATTTTTTCCCACTTGTGACGAATGCAGCTATCGATTTTTTTGCATGCTAGCATGCTAGTTAACATTCGTGTCAGTCAGCAGTTGGCTCGCCCGCTGGTCAATAGAATCTTCCTGCCTATTCGTGGCAGCCAGTTATAGGCTCTCACTCTGGCCAGTAGAAAATGGCCGCAAACTACATGAAAACTTCCGTAGAAGCATGAAAAAATCGATTATTTCCACTATCGATGCGAGTTGGGAAATGCAAAGTCGGTCTTGGCCTTTCACTAACTTGGAGCATGTGCATGTAAATTTTGGTGCAAATCTGTCGAAATTTGCGGCCGTGCATTCGTTACACACACACACACACACACATGCTGCCTTTTATAGATAGAGATATATGTGACATCGTATTGTGATGGAGAACAGCATTTTTCCTGTTGACAATTGAAGGGCATTTTTTCGATTCACTTGTTATGGACACGTTGCAGCTGCTGTACGTATAAATGTGTATTTGGGTTTCATTATGGCTTAAGCGTTCTAAATGTATAATATCTCAACGAATCCACCACATGAACAAGATTACCTTTCATTTGTTGGGATCGGTTGTGGAGACTTGTCAATGCGTTGCCTTTTGCGGTGAACTGTGTGGTACTTGTATAACCCATTGTTCGTCAACTGTTATATTTTTTAAGAGTCAGGATAATACATTCTTCATTACAATTGGATTCCAAAGATGGAAATTACTTGGAACAAAATAAATTAAGATGAACAATCCAGAGATAAGAAAACGAAATTTAAAACCGTGAGGAAAAATATGAAACAAAGGTAGAATAAAGCAGGATTTATTATTAGTGGACACACTCTTAGCAATATAATTTAATGCAGTTAACCCAGGAATGGAATGGATTGTTAAATTTAACGCCTCCAAAAATGAAACTGCTCTACGTTTTTCATCTGATAGACTGTTACACAGTAACAGACAGAAATGAAATTACAAAATCTCCTACAGAATGTAGCTACTGAGAGTGAGAAGTAAAGACTAAGCATAAACTACAAGAAGACAGAATGCATGGTCATCAGTAAAAAGATGAGCCCGAAATGCTATTTGCAGGTCGGGAACACTAGAATCAAGCAGACGTGGAAGTTTAAATATCTGGGAATCGTCTAGACAGAGGACGGTAAGTGCGACACTGAGATCCTTAGACATATTGGGATGGCCAAGGACGCATTCCAAAAGCTGGGTAGAGTACTGCGAGGCAGGAGGATTTCTTTGGTAACAAAGAAAAGACTACTGAACTGTTACGTGACATCTGTCCTTCTTTACGGCAACGAATGTTGGACGATTTTTTTGAAAATGAAGAAGAGACTCGAGGCGACAGATGTTGTGGTTCTACAGAAGGATGCTAAAGATATCATGGACCGAGCGTGTGAGCAACGATGAGATCTTAGGTTGCAGAGAGCTTATGCTTAACATCAGGAAGAGGCATATGAAGTTTCTGGAACACATAATGAGGGAGAAGGGCACGGAGAATCTGATACTCACGGGTCGAATAGAAGGAACGAGAGAAAAGGGAAAACAACGCGTGGCATAAATGACGGACTTAAGCAAGTGGATGACAGAACGTGGTCTGGGGGAGGAAGCAGAGGGAAGGAAATTGTTGAGAGCTACAAGAGATAGAAAAGAACTCTTTTTACCTTCCATCAGCATGGCTTATGCTAACCTCCCAGGGAGAGATTCATTGCGCCTTATCGAACTAACTTTTTCCACTGACATGAAGTGGAAAGATTATATTGAATCAACTCCTGGGTCCGAGGCTAGGAATGTTGATTCCATGTGTTCTGCTAGACATTTTTTCTTACATGTTTATAAGTGTTGTGGTAGGATCCACCTAATTTGCATAGTGGAGTACCGACTATATAAATATGGTTGGTACCGGGAAGAGAGGGAGGAATCAAGAGATTCACTCTCAGTCGAACTCTCTGCATTTTGCAGTGAGGGACCCGGACGAGGCTTTGCCGAGAGGTAGGGTTTCGTCCGGGGTGGTAGACAGGCCTTGAACCCGTCTAGGCGGATTCAGAAAGGCCATATTTTTGACCGGTCTTGTGCCACATTTTATCCTCGTGGGTGGATAGATAAATACAGGAATCAAGAGATTCAACCAGAGACTCTGCCCGACTGCGACTCAGTCAACACATTCTCCAGGAACGGTCTTACCAGGAATATACAAAAGACTATATGTAAATATTGTGTACACTTTCTTGTTTCAATACATTTTGTTCTAAGTACATTTTGTGTTGCATTATTATTCCATGCATTAGTCAAGTTTCAACAATAAGTTTTCTATTCGTCTATGTTTTTAATAATGCTGCTATATCTGATTTGGTTCTCCTGTTACATATTTCCAGACTCATGATAAAATCCAAAGAGGAATTTGTCCGTTGAGATCGTGTAGATCTTTGCCTATTCAATAGTTGGGGTCTTCGGAGGTTGATCGCATTGACTCTGATCACAGCTCATTGAACTCCTGAAATGGCATCTTGCCTTCAGTCACATTCCCACCGCCGTTATATAGCTTCGCCGTGTCTTTTCTATAAATATTTTCATAGTAATTGTTCTGGTGAATTGTCCTCCTTGGCACCTAGACTTTACGAAGCAATACTAGATTGACGGTTAGGTCTTATCAATTCACATTTGATATCGTTAGATGTAACCGTAAGTTCTCTGCTAAGAGTTTTATTTCTATCGCATTTTTCGCTTGTGGAACTCTCTCCCCGTTTCTTGTTTCCGAGTTAAATTTGATCTTGAAAAATTTGAATGAAATAGCAATCATTATCTACTGACTTCTTTCTTTTTTCTTTTTTTTACTCTTCTCTCCACTTAATAGTGCTTATTTTTTTTATTTCTCACATTCTCCAACACTTGGTAATGCCTTACGTTTTATTGGCTTTATTGCCTTGCTTGAGTTGAAATGATTTTGAAAAAATTATGACACAGTATTGATAGCAGACACAGAAAAGAATCTTCATGAAGAATATAAGAATATATGTTTTAATATCAATTGCATAAACACAAGAGGAACAGCTCCAAATGCGAGTGGTGGATTGGAGATGTCAAAATAAATCAATGACAAGCGCTTAAATATTCCAGAAGGGTGTTAACAGCGGAGAATGTGTCACCACAAGCCGAAAGGGCATTGGAATAGCAGGAATGTGCTTTCCAAAAGCTAAGCAAAGTATTACAAAACAGGAAAATATCGTTACAAACAAACTCATGATGTGCTGAAATGTTATGTAATATCAACCTTCCGATATAGCAGTAAATGCTGGACAAACTCTTGTCAGATGAAGAGGAAACTTGAAGCAACGGAAAATACCGAGAATACCGTAGACTGAACAATGGCGTAACGTGGAAGTTTTATGGATAAAGGAAAGAAAGAAAGAAAAAGCTTATAATAAGAATAAGAAAGAGTCAGTTGAAATATAGGATATATAATTAGAAAAGAGGTCTTGGAGTATTTGACCCTCACAGAAGGCAAGAGGGCAACATCGAGTAATCTCCAAACAAGCTTGTGTAAATGGATGGTAGAACAAGTAATATGAGGGATTAAGCAAACTTTAATAAGAGCTACAAGCAATAGGTAGTAGTGGGGGGGCATGATCGTCAATGTCCTGAAAGAAGAAGAAGAAGAAGAAGAAGAAGAATGCGGAAAAAGAAAAAGAAGAAGAAGATGAAGAAGAAGAATGCGGAAAAAGAAGAAGAAGAAGAAGAAGAAGAAGAAGAAGAAGAAACCCAGAGAAAATGAACCAATCAAACAAAAATGATTACTTCTTATGAATACATCCTTAATAATTGTCTCTACTGAAAAACTTAAGTATGAAGACTTGTGGAAAACACCTCATATATCTTATTATAAAATACGCCCGTATTTCTGACATGAAAACCCTTATGAATCGCAAACGCTTATAAATCACAAGAGGGTCAGAGAAAGGCAGCACATAACCTACCTAGAGTGGTCTACAAATGGTTGGTAGAACAGGGATTAGGAGAAATAGCAACAAGGTAAACATTATTAAGAGCTACAAAGAACAGGAAAATGTGGAGAACCGTGATCGCTAATGCTCTGAAGAGACATAGCATTTAGAAGAAGAATGAACCTGTAAATACTTAACAGAACAGGGCTTAGTAGAGATAACTAAAAGGGAAACTTTTGTAAGCGCTACAAAGGACAGGAAATTGTGGAGAGCCATGATCGTCCACGTCCTGATGGGACACAGTTCATAGAATAATCAGCATCTGAATTTCTAGAATGAAGAGTCATTGTTATTTACCTTATTTTCAGGCAGACTGTTGTCCTCATCTTTGGTGCCTTACGGCAACTTCACAATGAAACACTGGTTACCGTAAAATTACCGAAGTTAAGCAACGTCGAGCCTGGTCAGTATCCTGATGGGTGACCACTTGGGAATACCAGGTGCTGTAAGTTCAGATATACGGATAATGGCTCAGAATTTTTAATCGGAGAGCCGAGGTCCAATTCCGTTATGTTCAATTATGCACAAATACCCATTGAGAATGGTACGAATACACCACTTCTCCTCCCAGCTATGGGTTAATTAGTAAGATTGTATCACTAAACAATCTTGTAATCTAAAATATCCCTGCTTTAAATTTAAAAGTTGATAAGCCGTACATAACAAAACAATCAATTCCATCCTAGGTATGACGATAAAATACATCCGCGTATTTGCAAGGCTTCTGAGCATGAGGTTTTGAGGAGTGTGGAACCACCTCTTAATTGCTGGTGTTCCCAGGTCCACCCTGACCTTGGGTGGTAGCACCTGTTAGGGTCACAGCTATGGGCAAATAGTTAACCCCAAACTGGGGGCAAAACACTATGAAAGTGAAAAAAACAGGTTTTATTACCAGCAATGAATTTTTGTGAGAAATACATTATTAACAGCAACACATTTTTTAAAAATAAATATTACCGGCAATACATTTTTGAAGAAAGAAAATATTACCAGCAATAAAGATCTTGTTGACATTAAATAACCCATTCAGGTTGATATGCCATAAAACAAAACAAACCAAATCAAACCAATCAATCAATCGATCAACTTTGATGTTATTATTAGGTGGTCCCAAAAGTTCGTAAACACTTGCGAAAAATTGAATTTTTATGCAACACAATCCAGCACAATCGAGACAAGCGATGGGTTCAGAAAGGGCAAGAGAAACCGTCGGTTCCAAAACAAGATCGATTCGGCAAGAAAGTCATGTTGTGCGTTTGGTGGAACTTTAAAGGAATCGTGCATTTTGAGTTGGTTCCGAATGGTCATGCCATCAGTGCCAAACTTTACTGTCAGCAACTGGAGCGGGTCTACGAAAAGTTGAAGCAAAAGTACCCGGCTCTGATCAACCGAAGGCGCGCTTTGATGCAGCAGGACAATGCCAAGCCACACACCGCCAGGAAGACCAAAGACAAGTTTGAAGAGCTGGACGGCGTTGAGGTTCTGCCACATCCAGCCTACAGTCCTGACTGTGCTCCATCAGATTACGGCCTTTTCCGCTCAATGCAACACTTTCTGAAGAGCCGCCGATTCGACTCGTTTGATGAAATCGAGGAAGCGTGTCAAGAATTCTTTGATTCGAAGCCGGCTAAATGGTACTTTCACCAGATCCGAAAGCTTGCAGATCGATGACAGAAAGTCTTGGAAAATGAGGAATAATTTTTGTTGTTTTTGTTATTACTTGGCGAGTAAAATTTCAATTTTTTGCAAGTGTTTACGAACTTTTGGGAAAACCTAATATCATAACGCTTCTCGATTCGGGTAAACTTCAGTGAATTTCGAATTGAACACTTTATTTAATTTCCGCGGTTAGAGTGTTCTTGTTCTACTGAATATCTCTTTTGATATCACGTCTAGTTTATTTTTGCTTGGAATAACAGTGGTGGTGGGGGGAGCAATAACTGAAGACGTTCGGCAAGTTCAACAACCGAAACGCTATGAATATAAATCGTAGGGAAAAGATGAGAAAGATAATCCGAATTCATTAGTGCATAAAGTTTATATTTATGATCGGAATTTTGATCTGAAGTGTTCACTGAATATAATCATTAATCTATGTCACCATCAGTAAAGTGTTAAATGCATTGACATGATAGATTATACTGAAAAACAAATATTTCTTTGGTAAAATAACAGTGTTTTTGTACAAGGAATCATCGATATACAGTCGTTTGCATCCTTTCTAGAAAAATGTATCTGAGGCAATATTTAGACCAATAAGTATATAGATTTGATATTGAAATTATTTTCGTCTAACATCTTTGTAATAAAAAAGATCATTTTCTTTCTTCTTTTTGGCGCGCTTTTTTTTATTATTATTATTATTACATGAGTTTACATAGATAGGCAAAATCTCTTTTTATATTTGCTTTCTATATTCAGTGGCTCCAAGGAAATGTTTCATTCGAAGCGAATCAAATGACTTGATGCAGATTCCACATGTGTTTTCTACATACGTTATGTAAACGACAGCAAATTTGATCTGCTGAGTTAATGCACTATCACGCATGCGCGTAGGTATGAGAATATTAAAAGTCAGAGCTGGAGGCAAACAGCAATCAATGAGGAACGACTAATGTAAACAGAAGAAAGGAAAAGGAGACAACGAGAAATCTGTGGGAACATAAAATTGTTCCATAATGCTCTTTTATTCTTAATGGGGGAGAAAGAAAGTAAGAGGTTTGTGTATAGATTAAGATCATAAACGCACACACACACACACACGCACGTACACACACACACGTACACACACACACACATATATATATATATATATATATATATATATATATATATATATATATATATGT